GTGTTGGGAAGTGAGGATGGTGGTCGGCACTTGCTGGCGAAGCTGTAGCATGAGCGCATCTCGTCGTTGAAAATTACTGTCTGTGCATGTGCGTAGTATTGACTTCGCTACTCCTGTGGTTTTGGTGCGGACACCTGTCAGATGTTAATGTGGACGAAATTGAAACTCGGGGTAGCGTGAAACAAAGTCTCCCAATGTATGCGGTTACCCCTTTATGCTTCCGGCACCGGTGAGAAAACTTCGCAATGTTCAAGACACAAGCGCATTCGCACGTCATAGTAGAGGCGAGCTGTCAAGAGACTTGCGTGAATACTCCGCAATTCATAGTGGTTTCCAAACTTTAAATTCGCGGAGCGGTCCAGTCAATCTTACTAGTCGCCCGTTGGAAGAGGGCCGATTACTGATTGCTGCCAATGCCCAATGATAACTTGCTGTCGTGGTTTTAGGCCACCGAACGCTGGAGCCGTTGATAATGACATGCCATCTTTCCCTGCTAGACGGCCGTTGAAACATTGGCATCGCGTGTTCGCGATGATCGGGTGCGTATCGGGAGTTGTTGGTCGGCGTATTTGAGGCGCTCCGAAAGTAGGCGGCCTGCATCGACCTTGCAGACTAATAATGGAGTCCAGGATGGATTAGAGGATACAGGCTCCTGAAAGAGTAAGACCGTCGACACTAAGATATCTGAACCTTATCTGGCTGTGCCTCGAAACATGCATGGAGTTGACCGCCTCGTCTGGTGTTGCAGCATCGTCGCAGTCGGCAAGCAGGAGGCCGCTGAACGCCAAGACACCACTAAGTCCTGAGTCAGCAACGAGAGATGCCTGTCGCTTGTGACGCAGTTATGCAGTCTACGGCACATCAACCCACTATGCAGCACCGTTTTCCCGAGCACCGGGCCTGACCCCATGCCCTTCGATCTCTGCCAGACAACCTTTATGGTCCATCTTCCGCCAGTCACCGGGCGCTCCATTCCAAGCTCGTAAAAGCGTGGCCTGGGTTTCAGCCTGATCGCCGCTACGCCTTTTCTGGCTCAGGACCCTTCGGATGACCACGCAGCACATTCGCGGACCGGAGAGGAGACATAGTTATTAGACTTGACGTTCTTTGTTCTGTGCAATCGGATGCCCGCGCTAGTGTTTGCTTCGTAGGAGCTATACCTGAGTCTGAACAGCAGCGACTGCGGAGCTTGCCGCCCTTTCGTCTTACCGCCTCATCGTCTCCAGAGCATAAGCATGTCCTATCGTGGCCGACCCAGTAAGGGATGCGAGGCTTGCAGAGCCCGTAAAGTCAAGGTACGCATCTCTCTCTGTCCACTTCTGCGACCTGCCTTGCTCTACAGGCTGCACCACGCGCAGGGCAACGACGGTCACGCGGACAAGGCTGATGGCAGGGTAGTGCGATGAGGGTAGACCAGCTTGCAGTCGATGTAGCAAAGCCGGCCATGAGTGCAAATATCGAGACCAAGCCGACATCCTCTTTCGGAACCAAACGGCGTCGGCTGCGCAAAGAGCAGAAGAGTCATGGCGGAAGCGATCGAAGTCAAACCAACGTGCTACCGTTGCCGAAAGTAGCAACGCCTTCAGCAACACCTATAATAACACCTATATCAAAACACCACCAAGCGACGAGTCAACACCACCTCATCTGGATGACACGCGCTCGTCCAGCGGTAGTGTGCATTCTCCCGGTGGCTCTCTGGATGACCCGGCTCAAGAATCATCGAGCGTTGCGTCCGCAACCATCGATCTAAGTCGGCTAACTATTACTCCATCGCCTAATCCGGACTTCCGTAGAAGAGCTTTTGAGCGCTTTGTGTACGACTTTGTGCTGCCCGACTCGCCGAACCGACCAGCCGACCAGCCAGATGAAGCCCTGTGGACATTCATTCCGCTCTTGTATCAAGACGCCCCGGAGAACTCATTGATCGCGACAGCGGTTGACGCAGTATCTTACGTCAACTTCGCTAATAGATATAATGATTCTCATGCGCAGGCACTAGGTGAGGAATGCGTAGGGAGGGCCCTTCCGATGTTGACAAAGGCAATTGCGGACAAGAAGCAGGCAGCCACGAATACTGCACTTTGCTCGGTGCATCTGATGGGCATCTACGAGGTACGTTCGTTCGTTACAGCTTGCTGGTATGCACGAAATCTAACGTGATGAACAGAATCTTACCAGCGTGCAGCGGAAAGGCACCTTTCTGGCTCACAACCAAGGCGCAAACGCTATGCTTCAATTGCGGACGGTTGAGGAGTTCTACAGCGACGTCATATCAGCCAGACTTTACGAAGTCATCTATGCACATCTGGTAATCGCCGTCACAGATGAACACCTTTTTTCCGCTGATGGCTAACCTTGCGACAGCTCTTAGGCAACTTACAGGCAGCAAGACGCCCGCAGATACCTACGAGAGATGTGGTGAAAGTAGACGAATTACTTCCAAGTCTATACAAGAACTCCAACGCCTTTGTCATTCGTCTAATATGGCGAGCGGCAATGCTACATGCCAGATGGCACGAAACCAAGCAAAGTCCAAACCCACCAACCAACCGCATGGCCTTGCAAGAACTTCTACAGAGCGCGCTCGAACTAGAAAGTGACTACGAAGCTTGGGAGGCAAATGTTACACCGGCTTGGAACTACCATATGACACCCAACACACCGGAGGCTCGGTCGACCTACGACGCCAAGTTGCAAAAGCTTTTCTTGGGTTGTCCAGGCGCACCGGAAGAGATTCACATATACCCGAGCTTGAAACGCGTCTGGATCTGGGGCTTCTACCGTACGAGCCGCATACTTGTTTTACGTGATCTGCTCGAGATGTTGAATTGGATGTTGAGGTTCCGGGACCCTTGTCGATCTTTCCGTCCTCAAGAAGCCCCGGGGCAGTCCATGCCTACTGCTCTGAGTGATGGAAATCTCCGCATGCATCACTCGGTCGCTACCGCTCGCCTGGTTGGGGTCATTGAGAAGAACTGTTCTTCTATACTTGGCAGCTTCACGGTACCGATAGATACGAAATCTGCCACCGATATCTGTGGCATGCGGGGCTATATATGTATATGGCCCCTGGGTACGATGGATTCAGTACTCAGCTCAGGTCTCGTGCCGGATAGCAATGCAGGCAGACATTTGCACAGCGCTACTCATCTACCAACACCACCGCCAGTTTACTCGCAACCACATCTGGCTACATCCGCTTCCAACGCGTCTTCCTCAAGCGAACCGTCGTCGGCCCTGGAATCTTACGAAGCGGCACCTCCATTCTCCGAACTCCGCAACATTCGGTCTCAGTCTGAAAGCGACCAATCCCCCGGCGCGAGTCCGCCATCAAGCACCCCGGTCTTGGATCAAAATGCAAAGAAGAATCACATCTTCGACCCCAACCCCGCGCACCCGTACGATCACCCGCTAGATCTACCTCCACTGGACTATGGAGTCGAGCCGAGGAGGATAGACATTGCAGCGCGGCGGGAATGGATAAATCGCCTGATGTACTACATGGCCACAGAACTGGGGCTGAAGAAGGCGCTCTGGTGCCCAGTTATGCAAGGCTACATGCCCACCGTGAAACCCATGGTTGACGAGATTCTCAGCCAAGAAAGAGGTTTCTAAAAGCGCGAACTACGCATTTGATAACGGAGTATAAGCAACAAGGGCATCTCGTTGGCGTTTTGAGATTATGTCTTCTGCATTTACGAAGGGAAATTGGGGATTGGATGCACGGTTTGGTAACATATTTGTTCACGTACATATATTTCGGTTCGATGTTCTTTGGATATATACGAAAGTTATGGCTTGTACCTTGGATCATGAGGGTATTGTTGAGTGATTGGGAGTAATGTGGTGAGCTGACTCGGTTAGGATAAGCGTTCACGACTACTGCCTTGGTTGTGAGCGGGTAGGCAATAGCTCGCTGAAGTCCTGACATTCACGGCTTGGCCTATATACCGATCGCCCATTAGTTCCAGCTGCCATTGCGAATCAGTGCGACTAACTAGCCATCAACCAATCTCCACCAGAGAAATCCCTAAACTCAAATGGGCGGACACAGGATGAATTACGTCGCAACTCTGCCTTCCATCCCCGAGGGGGCCGTCGACAAGCACGACCTTATGTAGGTTCTTTCTCTGTAACTGTCGCTGCAAATGTTCGCTCAACCCGCTGACATGCACAGCACAGAAGCCAATGCCAAGAACTCACCATTGCTGCGCCTCCCAGGCGAGCTGCGCAACAAAATTTACGGATACGCTTTCCCCGACTCTTCCATTGAACCACTGCTGCGCCCGCGGACTGCCTCAATACACACTCGAATGAGCCCAGACCGACCCATGTCCCACACCGTCTCACTCATCCGAACATGTCGTCAGACGCGGTCTAAGGCCGAGTCTCTCTTCTTTTCCCACACAACTTTCGGCTTCAATTATGCGCGATATGACTTTCATCGTTTCCTGGGACACATTGGGCGTGAAAAGAGGGAACTCATCACGTCGATTGCCATGACGTTCTCTACGCTAGAAGCACTTGAGCAACACGAGGGGCGATATAAGCTTCCACGGCTGGAGTACGTTTACGTGAGGGTGTCTGCTGAATATCATGAATACTATCACAAGGGAAACACGCAAACACTACAGAGGCTTGCTGGAATAATGGGAAAGAAATGGGGATGTGAGAAGGCTACGTTCGTTCCGAAAGTATATGTTTGTCCGTGTGATCGATGTCAAGTAGCTAGTAGCGGTGGTAGAGTCGGTCTGAGACAAGGAGATTACTCGTGTCTTCAGACAGTCTCGGATCGCTCGTACGGCACCTCGTCCTCTGGCTGCAGCCTCATGTAGTTAGCGCTAAGTCGCAGTCACCATCACCGTTTGTCTTCATGCGGACCCTGTGCTAGCGTCGCCGCCAGCATTGACTGACAGCTTGCCTACCGACTACCGATCGTCTCTCCAATCGCCAACCTTGAAACACAAAACTGACGTTGCGTTGCCCACACCTTGATGATGCTTCGCCTCTCCGACTTAGGTTCCATGAAGCCCGGCGTCTTACCCGCCAACCAAAAAGACGACCGCGACCAAGACCTCCGCAACGTCGACGACGTCTTCAACAACGACTACAACATACGAAGCAACGACAAGCGTCTTGTAGTTCCGCTAGCATACAATAGAGCTGAGATGTAAGCGTGCCGCGCAATAAGCGCAGACTTTATGTCTGATACCTCGCAGCACCAAGAGAAACCAGACAGACTCACCTCTCCTCCTCCTCCCCGCCGAGCTCCGCAACGACATCTACAACTACATTTTCAACGGCGCCATCATCAAGGTCAACAAACCACTTGTCAAAAAGGACATGCGCAGATACCGCAGTGTCCGCGCTATCCTCTACACATGCCGCCAGATCTACATCGAAGCCAGCGCTTTGTCCTTCACTTTGTGCACCTTTGTACCTAGCTACTTCGCGCTAAGATTCTTTTCCTCTTCCAATCTACCGGCAGCAGGCTTCGGAAGGATCGAGCGTCTGTGGTTGACGGAGGGGAATGGGCGGGCTATCATCGAGGGACAGGATGAAATGAAAGGTGCATATCTCAAAGAATGGTTTGCTTCATTGAAGCTCTTGGAGATAGAAGTCTGGCGTCTGAAAGTAAACTTGACGGACGCTCAGGCAAAAGAGAAGGTGAGGGATGCGTTTGGGCTGCCGGATCTGCATGTTGTGGGAAGGCGCGTAGGTGAGGATGGGGTGGTTGCTGGTTGATGGTTTGGACGGGATGGGATTCTAGCGTATGACGGTTGATTGGGATTGAGCTTGAAGCTTGATGGCTGAATGGCATGTTGCGATATGAGGTTCTTGAGCTTCTAGGTAGAAGGGAGGAGCGTCGGCGTTTAGCCCCGCGCTAACTTCTAATCCCCGACCCGACCCCACAAGTCCTGCTTACATAACGCACTCGCCCTCATTCCTCACCAAACCGCCTTCCAGAGTCCAGATTCCCAGCCCCATCGCTCATCCTCCCATCCGCATTCGCATTAGCGCTGCCATATCCAATCCCTCCCCAAGTACACCCGTACCAATCCAATCCCAATCAACTAGTACTCCCTCGTCAACCAAAGACGCAAGGAAACGCAAAGTCGGTATTACAAAGAAAGAGCTAGGAAACCCACCACACACATACACGACGCGATCGCTAAAATGGATATCCGCGTCCTACGCCCATCGGACATTCCGCATGTTCAGCTGGCGAATATTACGAATTTGCCCGAGAACTACTTTTGCAAGTACTATCTGTATCATGCGATGAGTTGGCCGCAGTTGAGCTATGTGGCTGTTGATGTAAGTTTCTTGTTTTTGTGTTTGAGTTTGTGTTTGGGGAAGAGCTGGGAACTGGTGTGAAGAGGAGGGATTAGAGGATGAGAGTTGCAGTCGTTCGTGATTGGCCGATTGGTCGGAGGATGATTGAGCAACGGGGCGTTGTTACGTGGAACACGTGACTATCCGGCCACCAGCAATCGTTTCGATATTGGATAGTGTATCATGTCTTTCTCAAAAAACTAACACTAGTCAGGTCTCTCGTCCACCCAAAACCCCCTACGACCCCCCGAAGATCGTCGGCTACGTCCTCGCCAAAATGGAAGAAGAGCCCACCGACGGTGTCCAACACGGCCACATAACCTCCCTATCCGTGATGCGCACCCACCGCCGCCTGGGACTCGCCGAGAAACTCATGCGCCAATCCCAACGCGCCATGGCCGAAACCTTCAACGCGCACTACGTCTCCCTACACGTCCGCGTCTCCAACAACGCGGCCTTGCATCTCTACCGCGAAACCCTCGGTTTCACCGTCGACAAGATCGAAGCGAAATACTATGCCGATGGTGAGGATGCGTATAGTATGAGGATCGAGCTGGCGGATTTGAAGGAGCAGTTGAGGGATGAGGAGGAGGAGATTTTTGGGAGTGAGGGCGTGGATGAGGGGGATGCGGTGGGGAGTGAGGGGGTTAAGGTACGTGAATCTAATGATTGTTTGGGGGGAAGGGAGGAAGGGGGTGGGGGTAGATGGGATTGGGATGTGTGCTAACGAGTGATACAGGAGAAGAAGCCCGCGAAGAAGACAAAGGTCAAGGTGGGTAGGGGGAAGGGCGTTGTGGATCTGGTGGAGAAGAATGAGGCGGCTGCTGCTTAGGAGGCGGGGGTTGCCATTGCTGAGGTTTATCGGCGGATACGGTTTGGGAGGATAGGGAGGTGACTCCTCCCCCATCACCTCCTCGGAGCATAGGGTTATTATCGGTCGAGAATGGATATTGGTGGTGTGTTGGCGTTAGTTTGTTCGAGGCACATTTGTTGTGCTATGAAAGGTGGTTACGCTTACCAGCGTATATCCATAACTGGCCTTCTCATGCTATGCTACCGTATATTCTAGATTCCCAACTCCATCTCCATGCAAGAAGGAAGTAGCCAACCAAAAAATTAGAAGAAGAAGAAAAGAAAACGCCCATCCGTGTACCTTGTTGGATATCATAAAGAGCCCAGATCATAATGCCCGCCACATAAATCATCATCTTCCCTATTCCCTTCCAACCTACATCAACCCTCCCAAAACAACCTTTCCCACACCCCCAACCTCACTCTTAAGCCCCGCCCGACAACTATCCTCAAACTCGCGCACAACCCCCGCAAGAATAATCTTCCTCACCCGCGCATCCGCCTTATTAAACAAATCACCCACCAAACTAGGTACCCCACCACCCGCACTCGCCACACTCTCAGGCGTACTAAGCATACTAAGTATCTTCGTATAACAATCAATCAAGACATCGCACAGCGTAGCAAACGTGCTGAAGAAATCGGGGTCGAAGGGTAGACTCGGGGTCTGGAGATGCGTGTAGCTTTCGTTGGGGAGCAAGGAATCGTCTGTTGTAGGCGGGGAGTCGAAGCCGCCGCCCATGCCACCGCTTGTTTCAGAGCCGGTGAAACTGTTGCTTGGAGTGAGGAGCGGAAAATCGCCGTTTGCGCTGCTGGACCGCCGGCCTTTACTGCCCATTGACATGCCCATGCCCATTCCCATGCCCATGTTTGCGCGCTTGAACATCTGGGGGAGGCGGGCGCGGGAGAGCGAGGACGGGGTGGAGCCGTCGGCCGGGTGGATGGATTGGTATTGTTCGAATTCCAACAAAAGGGCGTTGAGGGCTTTGAGGTAGTCGGACGGGGAATTGGCGTTTAGGTCGAGGATGGTGGGGAGGGAGAAGCCGAGGAGGAGGTAGTGGGTGGCGCGCCGGGCTTGGTTGCGCGTTGTGAAGGAGGGGAGGCGCGTGAGGTCTGTTTTGGAGAAGAGGAGCGTGTTGAACCAGTAGATGCGGCCTTCGTGGCTGGATTGAGTTAGTGAGGGCTGATATAGAAGAGGAAAAATAGAAGGACTCACGCCTTCCGCAGGTAGTCGAGGGTGGATATGCGTTTTGAGGCGAGCTCGTGGATGTGCTGGAAGACGAGGTTGGGGTTGGAGCCGTTGGGGACGGGAATGGGCGCGGCAGGTGCTAACGTGCGGTTGGACTGCTGGTTTGCCTGGAGGATCTCCTTCTGGGAGGGGGGATGGCGCAGCGGGATGGGGACAGCCATATTGCCGAAGGGAGTCTTGGGCTTGTCGACGGCGCTGAGGGGGCTCTTCTCATAGACCTGGGCCTGGGGTTGTTGGACACTGCCACCCTCGGTCTTGACGTTCTCGCTGCTTTTTTGCTTGCTGCGCGAAAAGGTGGATATGGAGAGGGCGGGCCGCGAGGCATTCGTCACACTGGCGGGCACGGGGGCCTTCTCGGGGGAGTAGGTGAGGGCCAGGGTGGCCGAGGGGGTCCTCTTATGCGAGGACGAGGCCGACGCGTTGGTGCGAAGCGAGGCGGACCGTGACCTCCGCAGCGTGGACCCGAGATCGGTGACGGACGAGGCGATGCTGTGCCTGCTGCTGGCGTGCCTGCGTCGTGGTGGCGTCGCTGCGAGTCGGGCGGGAAACTCGTATTGGTCGAGCTCGAGAGGGGGTGTCTTTAGCCCGGGGTTGGCCGCGGGGGTGATGTTGAGGGCGGGCGGCGCGAGGGTCGAGTTTGCTTGCTTGTGTCCTTGTCCCTTGGTCTTGCCGCCGAAAAACGAGGGGCGGCGGGAGAAGAGGCCCTGGCTGGAGTTGTCGGCCATGTTGGTAGCCCATGTGCTTTCCAGACGGGTGGGGCTACCGAGCGATCAGGGGCTGTTTCACCACGGACCCTGATAACATTCCGGCATTGCGCTTCTAGAAGACGTGGTCAACTCGTAAATAAACTATGGTCTCTTCGTTAAAATGTAGGTGGGAAGACACGCAGACGGGACTGCACGCTATAAGGTAGATACTGGCGCGCAAAACGAAAACGTGTTTCGATTCGCGGCTACAGCTGATACCGTGAGAACCTATCCCGACGCAGGAACAAGCCGCCCGAGGCCCATCCCTGCCCACCGCCTCTGCCCCTGTCGCCCTACATTGCCATAGCTTCACTGACTATGCCATTCGACCACGTGCGGCTATCAGCACGTTAGGCTGAATCCAGAGTGGCAGGTGCTGCTTCCAAGCTCCAAGCTCCAAGATTCCAAGCTTTCCAGTCCCATGGTTCAGACTCGACACCGTCCGACTCTCTCCCAGACACACCATTGCTACCAGGTTCCGCTGTACTGTTGTGTGTTGCTGCCAGCCCCGCCAACTACCCCACGTCACGATGCAGCGCAGACAGAGCGCACGAGTACGCACCACCACGACATTCATATCCGCGCAACACTAACGAAACACAGGGAGAGTGGATTCCCACAGAGGGACAGTGGCCCGTGGATCCTCAGGAAGACGTCGAGGTTTCGGAGCAGCGCATATGGGTCGATGGCTGTTTCGACTTTGCTCACCACGGTATGCCGGCTACCGCATTCGAGGTATCCAGCGCTTACAGAGACCAGGCCATGCGGGCGCCATGCTGCAGGCGCGCCAGCTGGGCAACGAGCTGTTCGTTGGTGTGCACTCGGACGAGTCCATCATGGAGAACAAAGGCCCCACGGTGATGCGCCTCGACGAACGGTGCGCACGACCATGACGAATGCGCCGCCTTTAAAGCTAATGATTTCAGTGTCGCCGCCGTCGAAGCCTGCCGATGGGCTACCAAAGCCGTCCCGAGGGCGCCCTACGTAACCTCGCTGCCCTGGATCACCCACTACGGCTGCCAATACGTCGTACACGGCGATGACATCACCTCCGACAGCGACGGAAAGGACTGCTACCGCTATGTCAAGGCAGCGGGGAGGTTCAAGGTCGTTAAGCGCACACCCGGTATCTCGACGACCGACCTCGTGGGCCGCATGCTGCTGTGCACCAAGTCGCACTTTATACCGTCGCTGGAGAAGAGGCTGTCCGGAGATGAAGGCCCGGGTGATGAGAAGGAGCGGTTAAAGACGGGAGAGGAGATGCTCCAGCGCATCAAGGACTATGCGACCGACGCCTCAGGTCGTGCGCCCGGCTGCGACGTGTGGTACTGGCATGCTTCGCGACCCGTCAAGCTGCGGAGGACAACCACCAGCAACACCGTAACCTCGCCTACCTCACCCACTGCGCCGCGCCCCGGCACCGTCCGCCAGGCCTCGACCGCCTCAGCACTCGGACCCGTCAAGGAAGAAAAGGGCAAGTTCCACGAGTTGGTCAAGGGCAAGGGCGTCAAGCCCGGCCAAAAGGTCATCTACGTCGACGGAGGCTGGGATCTGTTCTCCTCGGGCCACATCGAGTTCCTCCGCCTCGTCACACAGTCCGAAGAAGAAGCCGCGAAGGAGGGCGGCTGGTACACCGACGAAGCAAAGGCAGCGCGCATAGAAAAGTCCGGCGAGGACTACGGCCCCATCTTCCTCATCGCCGGCATCCACGACGACGAAGTCATCAACCACTGGAAAGGCATAAACTACCCCATCATGAACATTTTCGAGCGCGGCCTCTGCGTCCTCCAATGCAAAGTATGTCCCCTCCTGACTTTCACTTAACGCAGGAACTAATGTCTGATCTCTAGTACGTCCACGCCGCCATCTTCGGCGCCCCCTTCTCCCTCTCCAAAGCCTTCCTGCACACGCTCCCCTACGCCCAACCCCTCACCGTCTACCACGGCAAAACCACCTTCATGCCCCTCGCCTTCGACCCCTACGCCGTCCCCAAGGCCCTCAACATATACCGCGAAATCGCTAACCACGACTTCCAAAACGTAAACGCCGCGGAGATTGTGGCAAGGATCATGAAGGGACGCGCGTTGTATGAGGAGAGGCAGCGCAAGAAGGGCGAGAAGGGGATGACGGAGGAGGTGGAGCGGATTCGCCAGGAGATGGAGAGGGAGCAGAAGAGGAGGGAGGTGGAGGGGCAGTTTGGGTTGTAGTGGGGTTGGGGGTGTGGATATGTGTGTGGGGGAAAGGATAGAGAGGGATGTGATGTTGCTAGCGCGTTCGACGTTATATACCAATCTTCAACAGATGTCTCAACCAGCTTCCATACTACCCACAGCCTCATCCCATTCGCTACACAGCCGTTCCCAGTCCACCCAGCCGTCAAACAGGCTCCAATCAGCAATTCCACAACTCCACCAAGCCAGCTTCCACGCCTTTCATCTCACATCACCTACCCACACCCTAACCTCCTTACAAACTTTCCAAACCCACTCACTCGAATCCGCCCCCATCCTCCAAAACACCAACTCATCCCTCTGCTTCCCACTCCCTCTCAAACTCAACTTGCAAATCTACATTCCTACACCACACCCTCACCTTCTCCCTACACGCCTCTTCATCCAAAACCTCCCCACTCGCCCTCACGTGCAGCACACGCAGATTCGGCAGAAAGACCGTCGGACAAGAGATGCCACCAATATACCCCCAGCGCATATACGTCAAGCGTGCTACTCCCGGATAGTTTTCACGGAAAACCTCGCTGAAGTGATGAGATCGCATATAACGTGTTTGGGCGGACGAGTCAGCCAGGACATGCCGTCGGTGTAGCTGAGATCCAGTGTGATGTTTTTGTAGACTAGGGTGGTGGCTTTCGGAGACGATATTTGTGGCATGTTGGAAGTAGGCCTGGGGGCGAGAAGGGGAAGTCGAGGGAGCTGGAGGTTGGGTCGTGTTTTTGGATGGTTCGCTTGATGGGGATGGGGGATGTGCGGGCTATGCGGGTGTAGATTGCGTTGCGGAGGAGGGGGGGTGTGAGGTGGGTTTGGAGAGTTCTTGGTTTGGTGGGTGGACGTTGGGGGATGCGGAATGGGGTGTGTACATGGTGGACATCGCGGTGTTGGCTTGTGGGGTCGTGGGCGAGGTTGTAGTGAGGTTTAGGTTATGTACCAAGATTCAACACATGTTCGAATTCGATTTATGTTTTATGATAAGCGGGAATTGTACGTCATCCAGCCACGCTGGTTAGATTTTTAAGAGGCTCCTCTGCATTGAGTACAGAATAAAGAGACTGACTCAGAGATTGCTCGTTTTCGTTTACAAAATCCTACCCAGAATCATTTTAGTCCACCTGCATTCTCGCATCTCCACTAACCATCCCTTCACTTATCAGCCACCCAAGAGGATGTGTGGAGCTTCACTCCACATCCACCAACATATCGAACCTCTCTATGAGCGAATGAGGAGGAGAAAAGTACTGCTTCGCCCAGTTCCCCTCAAAGAACACATCCAAGCCCTCGTTTCCAAACCATTTCCTGACCGCTTCCTCCATGGACTCACCCCCGCCTATTGGCCAGCCGGCTACCACCTGACATACGACGTGCACACGCTTCAGACGTGGTAAGTGCACGGTACAGCATTTGGTATCTTTCGAATTCTTCTCGCGCTCATTGACTTCTCGTTCCATGAGGTCGGCAAAGAATTCACTGATCTGAAGTGAAGTGACGTGGGCGCAAATTTGGTGTGAAGATTGTGAGTAGAGCCAGTACCATGCGTCGCCGGGGAAGGTGTCGATGGTGATTTGGGCGTATACGAGTGCGGTAGCTTCGGAGCGGGTCTGATGGCAGGTCGAGAGGAGCCCCGGCAGGACGAATTGCATGGTGAATTTGGAAGGATTGCTGGTTGGATCGCCAAGGTTCGCATTGGTAATGGTCGCGGCGATGGAGATCTGTGCCGAGTGGCCTACATAGGTGTAGATCTTGTTGCGCAATTCAGCGGGGAGGCGGAGAAGAGGAGATGTAAGAGTGTTGGTAAGAGTGCTAGGCGTGTCTGTTAGTAGGTGGATGATGGTGTTTAGTGACGGCGCAGGTGGCGGAGACATACATTTCGAACATGGCAGTGGCGATTTCAACGGCTGTAGAAGATGGACGTTCCATTATGTGTGGGTTGGAGAATGTAGGGTGTGTTGGTCTCGGCTAGTGGGTAGTTACCTAAACAAGAGAGAGGACTTGACGAGAATAAACAGTTCACCGTGATTCGCCTAATTCAGGCTAGTGCATTTAGAGAACCTTGGAACTGATGGTGCGGCTAGCGTACTTGCCGTTATACCACCCACTGTTCAAAATGAACAAACCCAGCATCCACTACTTACCCACCAGGGAGACTACAGCCACAACCACGACCACACCTGCAGCCCCCCAAACCAACAGCGCAATGTCCACGATGTACGCATCCCGTTACACATCTATTAAACTGCACTAACTAGCAACATAGCACTCAGCCCACATCCCCGTTGCTCCGCCTACCCGCTGAACTCCGCAACAAGATCTACACCTTCATCGGTCTCTCAACTACGCTCGTATTCTTCAAATTGCAGATATACCCCAAAATTCTATGCACCCACACCACTCCACCCTTTCTGCGCACGTGCAAACAAATCCGCAGCGAAGCCACAGCTCTCATCTACGCAAACGCCACCTTCGACATTACCCGGATCAACGACTTCTCTTGGATCATGTGTTGCCCCAAGGCGAAGAGCTGTACTAAGTTGCAGATTGGCTGGGTGCATTCGAGCCGTGTCGCAGGATACCTTGACGCGAGAATCGGCAGGTCTGTTGTGTGCCCCCTGCCGAACCTGAAGAGGGTGAAGGTCATGTGCGCATCGAAGATGGACAGTGAAATGATCAGAGGAGCGCTGAGGGAATGTTTCGGAAAGGAGGATTTGGTGGTGAAGTTTAGGGATCTTGGGGGGGTGTTGATGGCTTGGTAGAGATCTGGACGCCTGGGCATCTGTGGGAGGTTGAGGTCGACAGAGTTGAGTAGAGGACTCGAAGAGAGCGATCCATGTATCGTGTAATGTGCGAGTTACCCATGACTGGAAACTTTGATTCGCGTTCTCTTTGACTAGTCAACCCTCGTAACGTCTAAAAGTCCACTTCCCCTGCCCCTCACCCATCTCACAAACCCCCCACCCCAAAACTAACCTCCAGATCCCCCTTCCCACACCAAACCTTCAGCGCCATCCTAACACTATCTTCCCACGGCCGCCTCGTTTCGCAAGGCCCAACATACACCTTCTTCAGATTCGGAAGCCGATAGTTCGAAAACTTGAGCTCTCCGAGGTCTCTAGCATTTCTGATCTCGAGTGTAATCTCGATCGCAAGACACCTCGAAATCCTAATCGAGGTGACGAATTCGCTGATCTCGTGGTTGCAGGTGCTAATTGGTGGCCACGAGCACAAATCAAACACGTCGAAGTCGAAGAGAGCATGCGCATATATGAGGGGGGTGGCTTCTTTTCGGATTTGCTGAGAGGCTGAGAGGAGGCCTGGGAATCGGAGGTTGTACTTGATGGGGGCGGTGTTGGCGGTGTTTGGAGTTTCTAAGCTGTAGGGTCGGATGATAGTCGCGAGACCTACGTAGGTGTAGACTATGTTCCGCAGTTCGGCAGGGAGACGAAGAAGGGGGGATTCTTGTTGATTGGCGAGTGTGCTGGAGATCTTGTTAGTGGGAGGTGTTGGGAATAACAATGGACATACATTTTGGACATGACATTGTCGGGTTGAGGGGCTGTGGGTGGATTTGCGGGCTGCATATTGAGGAGGTAGACAATGTTGTGTACGTTGAGACTGGGGGTGGAGCGGAGCAGGTGGAGGACTGAGCGAATGCATACTCAATGTGCGCTAAGGCCTAAAGGACTAGTCTATCGATCTAACTGATCCATCGACTGATGATACTCCACAAGCGAGAAAGAGCCGAGATAAGGACGCTCATGAATCTCAAAGACAATCTGCAATGCCTCGTTATCGAACCAATTCCTAAGCCTCTTCGCTGTCCAATCGTTGAACCCTCCAGCCTTCTTTGACATGTGACACATGACATGAACCCTCTTCAAGCTTGGCAGTTTCATAGTACGTGCTTTGATGTTGTCAAGCCTGCGATGGCGCTGGCGGAAGTAAACTTCCAACTCTATGCTATCGGCATGCAGTTCCAAGATTCTTAGCGAGGTGACTTGGTCGCAGAGTTTGTGTTTGCAATTCGAGTGTAGCCAATACCAAGCGTCGTCGTCGGCGAGTATCTCGACAGCGAGCTGCGCACACAGCACCGGGCTTGCTTCGTAGCGAATTTGTTTGCAGCTTTCTAGTAGGCCTGGGAGCTGGAAGTGCATAACAAAACGATCAGAATTATTGGCAAGGTTGTCTGATTGTCCGATAGTGGCGGTGACCTGGGTCTGCGTCTCATATCCTAGATAGGTATAGATAGCGTTGCGAATCTCAGCGGGTAGGCGGAGGAGTGGAGACGTGAGCTGGTTGCTGAGGGTGCTTTGGTCAAGTGTCAGTAGATGCGGCGCAATGAGAGACGACGCACTTACATATCTGCTTTGGCCCTGTCGCCTTGGAAGGTCGCGGAGGAAACGATGACTTCCATGACGCAGAGGGAAGGAGTTTGCTGGCGCTTGACTTTGGACGTGGGTAGTGGACAGAAAGAGAAAGAAAGCTTGAGAAGTGAGGGCAGTGTTTACTGCGCTATCTGGGAAGGCACTAGCGCGGAAATTGACTATATCTTGTGAACAACCAGGCTCAGTTACCTCTAAGACCATTCCCGAAGCCATGCGTCCCTTCTTATGCTTGAGGTGGACTTTTTTGGGCTTCATTCTCGTGGTTTACGATAGCGCGGCAAACGGGAGTATAGTCTATGAACTTTGCATGGGACTGAAACAAAATTTTCATTATGCAAGATGCATTTCCAACTACTCTTGGCCTCTCAATGAACACATTTTTCTCGCGGACCGTCAGCGACTACTTTTCTAGCCAGTCTAATCCTCGAAGATGATCTCAAGTCTTTCATTCCCAAACCACTCCCTCAGAGCTACTGGATCTTTAACGTTCTTCCAATCCCTGTATACCTTCTCCACATACACCCTCTTCAGATTTGGCAGATATCCTGCTGGTGTCGTGTTCGTAAAAGAACGTGTTACGGAATTCGACTTGGACATCACGGAACAAGCCAAGATACCACACAACCTGATTGAGGTAATGAGACTGGAGATCTTGCGATTGAAATATCTCTGCAGCAGGAAGACTCTGCTGTGGTTGGTGACATCGAACGTGGCTAGGCTGTAGAGCAGCGTCGTGGCTTCGTGATGTATCTGCTTGCAACTTCTAACAAGATCTGGGACTCTCAAGCAGAGGATGCATTGCAAAGGGCTGCTCCCGGAGGCTCTTGTCACTTTGATGGTCGCAGAGAGCGAGACGAAGGTGTAGATTTTGTTGCGGATCTCGGCGGGGAGGCGAAGAAAAGGTGAGTTGAGCTGGTTTCTGAGCGTACTAGCCGGAGTTTCAGTTTTTTTGCGCGTGCATTTGAGTGCGCTGTGCTTACATTTCTGACATTGCGCTGTCGCAGGGCAAGGCTGCGCATGCGAGATCGCTCTGCATCGCGAGTATCGGGCAGGAAGGAGGTGATGTTGTGTAACGAAAGCAAGAAGTGATTGTTGTTAAAAGACAAGGACTAGAGTGTGTTGAGAAGCGAGGTGAGTGTAACCCCGGGTAACTGTCGCATTGGAGTTGACGAAGCGACTATCTAGTGGCTATTTCCCTTTTAGGCAGCAGCAAACGCTAAGTCCTAACCGGCACCCCCCCAACATTCCAAAGCTCCTCGCAAGTATTCAGGATGGGCTTCAAAGATGACCTTCAGGTTCGCATTCCCCGCCCAGACCCGGAGCTTTTCCCGTATACCATCGATATCATCTAGTGGCCAGATACCAGACACATAAACTCGCACTAAAGCCGGAAAACTCAACAGCGTCGTGCCTTCCAGATCGTTCGCGCCCCAACGGGGTATGCGAATGGCTGTCATAAGTTGACAGACCGGCAGTTTAGCGATATCTCGGAGGAGCCGCATATCATCCCAGGCCCTTTCGAAGATATGGTAGATCGCTCTAGCGAAGAACATTGTACGGGCTTCGAAACGGAGCTGAGAACAGGCTGATATGAGAGCCGTAGATCTCTTGTAGGAGTAGGAACTCAAAGAGTGTATATGGATCTGGATGTTGATGAATGTGTACTCGTAGATCATGTTGCGTATCTCTCCGGGGAGTCGGAGGAGCGGGGATGTGATTTGGTTCTTGATAGCACTAAATAGCAAGTCAGTGAATGGAGGAAATTAGATATGTCGAACATCGCTGACTAACAGGACCGACATGACTTGACTGTTTTGCAGAGGCGCGGATACGATTGTGGTATCCATGTTCGTATGAGTAGAGGAAGTTCGGGTGTTTGGGTTTTCCAAGTGGGTGGAAGAGAGAAGCAGACGGACGACTTAGGAAATGAGTAATCATTATTTAGCGTGAATAAGCGGCTATCACGTTACTCCATATTGGATCTAGTTCCATGACCTCTAGTACCCGTTGTACCTGTTTGGCCCGAGCTTCACATGGAAGATGCTCGACCTAGGTATAATGCTAGGACATGAATTTCACTTCCAGATCCTTCTTTCCAGCCCAAAGCCTCACTCTGTACTTCATCACGTAGTTCCTAGCCTCTGATTCTGTTTCTTCTAGAAGAGGAAAATACACTCGCTCTAGTGCTGGTAAGAATTCTGCGCCCTGCCCTTTCGTAGGCCCCTGCAGTCTGTATAGTCGTGGATAAGGACGTTGTTGGAACGGCCATAGACGAATTGAAGTAATGAATCGGAAGTCAGTATGATAACATGCTCGTGACATGTGCTCAAACTCAGTGTATCCGAAATCGAAAGTGGCGTGAGCGAAGAAGATGGCGCGGGCCTCGTAACGGATCTGGGAAGACGCTGAGATGAGAGCAGTAGACTTGCGGTTGGAGGACGTGTAAATGTTTGCATCAACATCATTTGTGACGCAGACATCGATAGAGATGCAGACATAGATGTAGATCTCGTTGCGGATCTCGCCTGGAAGGCGCAAGAGAGGTGAGTCGAGCTGGTTCTGCAGAGTACTGAGTGTGCATTAGCTTACATCGAATTCCAAAGCACGGAAAATAATATTTACATCTTTCGAGCTTTCTGAGAGACTAACACACCGCTCTGTGAGAAGTTTCCTGCATTTTGCGACATCTTGATCAAGGGAGCCGGCGCGTGGTGCAGAACAGTTCAGCGCAGTCGAAAAAGTCCACGGACGGACTGAGCCGTTAGACTGTCTGCCAAAGTCGATGGAGAAATGTGATACTGAGGATAGTTTGGAGTCGGTAGAAGGTGAGGGGATTTGGGGGTTGGCCCGTGGGTGCGTTTGTTTACACATGGCACGTGCTGAAGTGATTGCAAGCGAGAATTCATCATCTAGCGTGTATCACGCGACTACTACATTTCTCCATAGCGTAGCTGGTTATGACGTATCAACAGGGACTCTCGCTACTGTCTTGTGCAGCACTTCCACGTGTGAAATTCCCTAGAAGGCTGAGCTGTGGGCCACCTGCAAGTCCGCATTTCCCGCCCAAGTTCGTAGCGCGTCAACCCCCAAACTATCCTTTGGCATGCGCGATTTACTCCAACCAGCGACATATACTCGCTCCAGTTCCGGCAAGAGTTTGGCTCCCTGTCGTTCCGCTACAAAATGCTCATCCTCCCTTAGGAGCCTTGTAATCCGCTGCGATCGTAGATGGATGGAAGTGACGAGCTGGAAGTCCGCGTGTGGAAGCGTCTGTGGGAACTCCGAGAACAGGAGCGCCCTCAAATCGAGAGTCGCATGCGCGAAGAAGATGGCGCGGGCTTCATGGCGCATCTGAGAACAGGTGGATATGATGGCTGTGGACTTGCGGGCTCGAGGACTGTTGTTGAAGACGGCCTGAGTGCGGGAACACGCGTACGCGTAGATCTTGTTGCGTATCTCTCCTGGCAGCCGTAAGAGATGTGAGTTGACCTGGTTCTTCAGTGTGCTGGATACATGTTAGCAGATGCCCGTCGTCTCGATAGGGTTGAATGGTCCCGGTACTTACATCTCGCGAGCTTCTTCGGAAGTGAGCACGCGACGCTGGCGTGAGGTGACTGTCTGTCGTGACATATTGCTACGCGGGGTCAGGATTGAAGCCCTGAACGTTGTTCAATGGTTAGAACGCTTACCCCGGTACGTGTGTTTGACGGTTTGTGGGCTACACCAACCAGTCAGCGTAGTTGCTCACGGGACTGTATGAGCTGATGGCTTACCGAGAACAATCTGTGGGAAGACAAGAGAAGAGGACTGGTTTCGGCGATCAAGGTGTTTTATATACAGAGGGTACGTGCGGAAGTGGCTGCAAGACTGCCCAGGTGGGATTAGACCCTCGAGATCACGCGCCGGATCATCACGTGCATAGGGCCGAGCTGGAGGATATTTCTTGATTCAGTTCTAAGGTGTTGCTACAAATGACACTAAGTATATCCATCAGAATTTCTGGATCGGTCTCAGAGACTTGCGCTCCCAACTTGTCTGAAATCGCTTCCTTACATACTTAGGTATCCAGCTTCTCATGAGTAAAGGAAAATAGATTGGGAAAGAATGCGCTATCCGCGATGAGTTCAACTTTGCATTGAAGAATATCGCATCAAAAAGAGCATTTCTGGATCTGTAATCTCCTCGTCGGTGACCTGTAAGGTCTGCTTTCCAAACATTCCTTGTAGCGCATTGATGTATACATCATTCGCCCTAGTAGGTTGCTTCAAAAGCACCCTCTCAACCCCAGGCAGATCAGATTTAGTCCTTATACCAGCCTTGAACTCTCGAGCCTTCCGTGTTGCAGTATGGAGAATATTATGGTCCAAATATAGCGAGGAAATGAGGTTGCGATATTTGGGGTTGAGGCTTACGTGAGCTGCCCATCCTGCCCATCCAGACAACTCGAACGTCGCGTGGGTATACAAGAGTGCGATGGCCTCGCAGTAGAATTGTTTACGTGCGAGGAGGAAGGTTTTGGTGAAGAGACATGAGCTTCCGGAAACTTCTGAACGCTTCCCGTGCTTGACTGTAATGGATCGGCAGATGCAGGTGTAGATATGATTGCGGATCTCGCCAGGTAGACGAAGTAGGGGCGAGTTCAGCTGGTTTGCTGCGGCGCTGTTACGATTAGCTAGTGTATTGTGGATGAAGTACGCGCTCAGTTCATCGGCTTACATCTTGTCAGATTCCTCAGGACTAGTTGCCCGCTTGAGCAATTCCTCCCACTCTTTGTAGGCCTTCTCGCGGTCCCAGAAGGCTGTCGCCATATTGTGGACTCGGGTATCGGGTTGGGTTTGAGAATTCGATGGAGACTCGGCGTAGATTTGTGGCAAAGACGTTGTTGTGGCGGACTCACAAGAGAATTGCCTTCTCTAAATAATTGCAGGCCCAGGCTAGGCAGCGGTGAGGTTAGCTTGGAGTCACGTGTGGGTTCAGAGTGCATAGCTCTGGAGGACCCTGCAAATAGATCAGATCTCGATGGCGTAGCAAGGTCGGTGAGACTTTGAAAAGATAGATGTCTTATAACATTCTCGAGTATTCGATCTAATATGTACATCAAACAGAACCGCGTACTTTACACTCGGTCAGCTCCAAAAAATCTAGGCCTTGGGGCCTGTGGGCTTCTTCATGTAGGTGGGCGCCAGAGGCGGGTCAGCGTTCTTGACCAGCATCTGCACGTACTCGTCGAACCAAGCACCAGCAGCCGGCGCGCCAGCAAGGCCGCACTTTCCATCACTTTCGCCACCAGGCTTGATCCAGACAAGAGAATCGACGTTGGTGTTGTTCTGCTTGGAGCCAGGTAGAGGACCGAATCCAGCAGGTTCAACATTGCACCACTCACCCCACTCCTCACGAGCACCGGGAAGAGCGACGCGACCCTGATCGATGATGAAGTGGGATGGCAGACCCTCGGCCTCGAGGTAAGGAGCGAGCGATGTGGCGTAGTGGCTCTCGTCCCAAGATGGCGAGTACTCGGTGTAGTTCTCGCGGATCTTGGCTTGGAAGGAGTTGTAGTTCGACACGTTGGTGGAGAAACCCCGGATCTTAGCCATGGGGTTGAGCTTCTTCGCCATGGCAACAACCCTGCCGAAGACCTCAGCAGTTGGCTTCAGATTGTCTGCCCAACCGAGCCAGCCGCCGTGCGCAGCATCGATGTACAGATGTACGTTGGGGAACTGCAACTTGGAGATGGCGTATGCGATACCCTCCTCGTAGATTGGGGTGGCGGTGGCACAGAAAGGGACGCCCTGGTTGGTGACGGCGTTACCCAGACTGTCGGGCTCGAGAACGATGGCAAAGTCGAGATCCCTGGCCTCAGAAACAAGCTTGGCGTACTTGTCGACGAACTCCTTCTTATAGATCTCGAGGCCGTTGTTCTCAGAGCTCAGCTCACCAGCAGACTCGCCGGCAGAGCAATCACGGTCGGGCAAGTTGTACAGAACTAGTCCGACGATCATCTTCTTTGGGCCCTTCTTCTGTTGACGAGCCTCCTTGATGGCTTGGGGAATGAGGCTGAGACCATCGCGTGTGGTGACCCAAGTGAAAGTCGAGATCTTCTGGGCGACTGTGCGAGTGCGCGCTGCATTGAGAGTGTCGTTCTGGGCCGTGAAGGCTGCAATGGTCTGATCGAGCTTCTTGCCGTAGCTCTGGACAACATAGCGGTCTTTGCCAGCCCAAGGGTTGACGTTCGGGCCTGGGGGTGGCTTAGGAGCTGCGGACGCAGCACCAGCGAGGGCGGCAGTTGCCAAAACGAACTGTGTGAGTTGCACCATGATGAAACGAGAGGCTTGAGATTGACTCGAGGTGGTGATGAATCGTACGGTGGATTACCTGGGGCTTTTATAGAATGCCATGAAGATGAGCGCCGCGCAAAAGACCCATCCAATCATCTCTTTCCTTTGTAGCAGGCTTGGTACAGGCTTGCCCTTACGTTCACGTGGCTGTCTTTAGACTTGGTCAACGGTACCGTCGGGCCGTTGTACATTCTAACAGCACTCAAGACGGTCCAAGTCCTTGGTGAAAAAGCATTGACATCTCGCATACAAAGCGCCACGGCGGCGTTGCTGTAGTGCTTCATCGATGGCGTACTGTGCGCTTTCTTTCGCGAATGTAAGGAACGGTCGTTCGCCCCTAAATTGGTATGTAGTCCTGTTAACAGTAAATTAGCCAAGGCCAAGTCTACCGGGGGTGCTGCGGGTAGTCAATATATCTGAGCTGTTTACCCGGCTTCTACCCCAGCTATGTTGAAACATCGACCCCGCAATCCGGCTCGTGATATTGCGACCCCGAAGAGCGTCCTGCAGATTGGACGGGGTGGTCAAGCTAATGCTGTGTATATTGCGTATAGAGTAGTGTGGGGATCTTGTGTCATTTCGGACTGCAGCTCGCCATCTGCAGACACTGTACAGAAGATTCGTTGCGTCTTCTAGCGCGAGTGTGAGCGGCTGTACCCTGAGGCTGAGTTGGATGTAGATGCTGCACGCACGATGCAGGAACTCCAACACTAGAGAGATGTCGAAAGTGATATCGCGAGCTTAGCCACTGGGGTTGGGACGATCGCGCAGATTGAAGGTCCTCTGGCATACAAACGTGGAGAGCTCAGTTGACCTCCCTTCCGAACGAATGCGCGCTTCCAACGGAGTGCGTTACGATAGCCTTAACGATGTATTCTGTTACCTGAGTACATACCGTCATCCAGATATCCCGAGATCTAGCTGAAGGCGTGGTTTGCGGATGGAGCGCGAAAAGGCACGAAAAGGCACGAAAATGATGGTGCTGTGCGACACGTGTGGCGTGCATGACAGTCGAAGTCGGGCAGAGTGCCTATCAACAAACATCGCGTCGGAGGTCTCAAAAACGCAGTAGTCACGTAGTCGCTCGCATCGGATGAGTTGAAATGGGGTGCAGTCGGACGCGTGACATCTCGTAGTGAACGCGAAGTGCGCGACAGGGCGGGAAGCTGATGTCCTTGCCGTTAGCGTCTTGGCAGTGACTGTAGCGGTCCCGAAGTCTCCATTGCGCGTCCCCAGTTACTTTGACTCGCCATCACGTCCAGCGCTACCTATACCCGTCAATGTCACCGCAAACACTCACGACTATAGGATGGTGTCGAGCTTCGACGTTCACCAGAAACAAGATCCGCAAGATCGACGTCTGGGAGTAAAAATATACATCGAATTGGAATCTATTCTACAGAACTATTCATAAGGAGTGCCATGTCGTCTTATCGTATCATGTTGTTATAACAAAGGAAGGACTCGTCTCAGCGACGATGAAGAAGAGGTAGGTGGTGTTCATATCCGATACACCTTTTAGACTCACTTGCTGATGATTCATGATCACAACAAGGTCTCAGCCACCAACGCTAACAATCTAGCACTGGCGGACGTACATGCCAATGGGGCTTGGGTTGTAGTCCTGGAAGTAATCCATGGAGAAGTCACCGCTGCCGCAAATCATGTAGCTGACGGTCTTGCCCGCCTCGCAGTCACCAGTCTCGACGGGGTAGGTGTTGCCAGGGGTCATCTCCATGGAGGCAACGTCCTTATCCTTAGCGGGCATGTTCTTGTAGGTGGTCATTGCATCGGCAGGGCCCTTGAGCTTGCTGATGGTGCACTTTCCGTGGCCAGACATGGTGTAGTCGGAGGTCTCGAGGTCCTCCTTCTTGGGAAGCATGAACATGGCAGAGCACTTCTTGCCAGCCATCGAGGCGGGGATATCGAAGTTGAAGATGGTGCAAGTGTGGCTATCGATCTTGCCGTTGTACGAGGTGTCGTGGGCCTTGTCGGGTTGCTCGGAGTCGACAGGTACGATCAGGTGGGGGTACTCGTAGTTGCCGTTGAGGTCCTTGGGGCATGAACCCTCACCACCGTTGTCAACATCATCGTCGGTATCGTCGGGCTTTGTGGGCGTGGTCTCTGCTGGAGGCGCGGGCTTCGTCACAGAGGGAGCGGGGTGAGTCTCGGCGGGAGGAGCGGGATGCGTCTCAGCGGGAGGTGCAGGGTGGGTCTCAGCGGGAGGTGCAGGGTGGGTCTCAGCAGGGGGAGCTGGGTGAGTCTCAGCGGGAGGGGCCGGCTTGGTCTCAGAAGGAGCAGGGTGTGTCTCAGCGGGAGGGGCAGGATGAGTCTCAGCGGGAGGAGCAGCAGGCGCAGTGACAGTGACGGTCACGACGCTGTGAACACACTCAGACTCTTGAGGGACACCGGGTGCGGGCTGGGAGGGCTTCTGGCCTTCGGACATGGCGGGGTAGCCTGGCTTGCCTGATTGCTGAGGCTTTCCAGGTTGGCCGGGGTACTCGGGCATGCCAGAAGGCTTTCCGGGCATACCGGAAGGCTTTCCAGGCATACCTGACTGACCAGGCTTTCCGGGCATATCGGAAGGCTTCCCAGGCATACCAGAGGGCTTTCCAGCAGGAGGTGTGCCGGCGGGTACAGTGGCGGTGGCTACGGGAGGTGTACCAGCGGGAGGTGTACCAGCGGGAGGTGTACCAGCGGGAGGTGTGCCAGCGGGAGGTGTGCCAGCGGGAGGTGTGCCAGCAGGGTATGTGGCAGCAGGAGGTGTACCAGCAGGTACAGTAGCAGTGGCTACGGGAGGTGTGCCAGCAGGCTGAGAGCCAGCGGGTTGTGTAGCGCCAGCCCCGCAAGAACCAGCAGAGCCTAGAGAGATCTCGACGCACTTGGCTTGGCCAGGGGCAGGAGTTGTGTAGACGTTGTACTCGCCGTTGTCATTGACGGGGCAAGCGTAGAACTTGCCGGAGCCGTTGTATGTAACGCCACCGTTGGGGCCAACGGCAAAGCCGTTGGTGGGAGTGGCGCCAACATCGCATTGGAATTGTGTGGTGGGAGGAGTTAGGATGCAACCCCGTCCATTGGAATCAGTGAAGCCACCGTTGCCGTCCAGGCAGTAGCAGCTGGTAGGCAGACCACCGTTACCGACACGGTTCTGGCCGTCGTCGAGTTGGCCAAGTACACCTGATGCGCCGCCTGACGCTTCAAGCTTGAAGCACTGTGTAGCCTGACGGACGACAAGGGCGTTGGCTCCGAGGCCAAACGCGATGGGAGCGAAAGCGTATCTCATATTGGAAAACTGAGCGACTGTGGGATGAGGTGAAATCTGAGGATACCTTCCAACACGTTCGAACTGGGTGACTCTTATACTGGCCTGTGGCTCAGGAACTATGACAGCCGGTACTGCCAAAGATCTCTAGCGACTTCCAGTATTGCGGCATCGGCTTACGTTGTTGGGATCTTAGCAGGCCTCGCGTGTGGTTCTCATCGTCATCTTGAGAACGATGATATCAGTAGACGAATGCCTGTACAAGCATTTGTGGAGACTGCTATCCAAGCCTGTAGTGGCTTGAGGCTTTCCGTTGCCTGGTAGTAGCCGTATGGCCCGCGTTAACGTTCAAATTGTTGCGCTTTCAAGTAACACCAACCGCGATCATTGGCCAGCAGTCAAAAGACGTTCTGGGAACTGTGGTTCTCGACGCACGCCAGACCCGATTTTGTGGGGTAAGATCGACAGGAACACGTTGCTCTACCCCATGCAATCTACACAACTCGACCTCGAGAAGGATATCAACGAGAGGTATCGTTGTTGTTGTATGTTGACACTGGTCACAAATATGGATACTACTTGGGTGTCAGCAAGATCAACTGCATCGCTATACGTGGGCCTCTTGATCTCGAGATGGCAGACGATGAAGTCTTCGAAAGTAAGACGGAGCTTGATGCGTTGCGGAGTGCATTCCGACGGTAAGGTCGGCGTCGTCTAGAGAATCAAGACTATTGGCATAAGCCTTGGCGGTGAACAGCGAAGAGCAGAGTTTCCCAACATAGTAACAAACCGTTGCCGAGTGTTCCGCTACGGTCGTAACGTATGCAAGATGAACAAATAAGCGATGTGGTGCTTTTTACCCCAGACATCTGTAGACCTGGAATTCATGGGGTACGTCGGCAGCCGGACAAGCCTGGGAGATCACGCGAAAGCCGCGTACTATGCTGGCAGCTAGCCCGTATGGCCTACACCAGAGACGAAAGGTTGAATTGGCGAGCAGCATGAAAAGCAGGCATTTCAACATGAAAGTTTCCGATGCGATCCAGTTTCAAGCTGACGAGACCTGTAAAACAAGCTGGGCACTTCCATAGCCCCACTGCATAGCGAAAGCTGCCAAGGCTGGCGGATGTTGTCTCCATTGTGCAAACGGTCAGACGAATTATTTGCAAGTCGAGTACATCCTGTCTAACTGGGAAGGCACGGCGCAATGTGGAGGTCTTTCGTCACTTTGACATGATAACATCCGAAAGCTCCAGTGTCGGCGAAATTTTGCCGCGCAGAGATTGGTAGGGCTTCGCTATGGTAATCCAAAGCCTTCTCCTGTACTCCTAGTGCTGAATGGCATGTTTGAATACCGGTTATCTGGGTGGTGCAGAAGAGTCGAAGCGACGCAGGTCCCTGGGCAAGTCTTCAGGCAACCTGAGGTAGACTTTGCATCATCGCATCTTGCGCGCGTCGTCAGATGTGGGCTGTGTTCTTTCTTCAGCCGTTTGCTGACGCATACACGCAGAAGTTCCACGGTGGGCTTATGTCGGAGAGCCGATCGTTATTTCTGATGTTCTGGTCCACCTTAGCTGGCCCTCGGTCGTGGTAGGTTGGTGGATCGGTCGCGCGACGTTCGCTCCTAGGGTTCGTCTGAAGGGGTCTGGATGCTGGAGCTCCGCAGGGAGTACGCCTGTGTCATCAGGAACGGCGTGAGGAGATTTCGAGCCCTACGGCATGGAGGCGATGGTCATTGGACGCTGCGGCGAACGCGTCGTACGCAAAGGGGGTTTCGAGGTTGGGATGCGATCCCGTCGCGACCTGGTTTTCGCGTTACGTCACTTGTGACTAATGCCCACTTAGCCTAGTGGCATCCGCTTTGGGCCGAGACCCACTTGCCATCACGGCTTCCGAGGCCTTCCATCAGGGTACAGTACCACGGCGATGCAGCCGTCCATCAAGTATCTGTGATAAAGCTGATGTTCACTTTTTCAAGAATCGCTGAAACCTTCTTCTCCTCCTATGGATACTCCCGTCAGAACCAAGCCCGTCGCTAACATGCCAGTGCAGCCCCCAGCGCCTGCGAAATACAACGGATGGTGATTAACTTAACAATGTCTCGCCGGACTTCTGCTGCAAGCATCTGAATACTTAGGCACTCGCTCAACGGTCGTCTTGCTGCTGCAAAGTTTGCACGTCAATCATGCCCCGAGGGTGCCGGCATCGCTATAATTCGACGTAGCTTCCACGGCTTCCACGGCCAGCTCTCGTTCTATCTGGTCAAGCGGAGGACAATGTTAGGTGCGTTATACCCCGGTCACCGGTAATACAAGTAGTTGCAGATACGCGCCCACTGTTGCTTATGTGCGAACCTTTGGCAGCTCACGTACCGGGAGTGACCCGCTGCAATAATTCTGTGAGCATACAGATTTTGCGCAGTCGTGTGCAAATCGAATGATGAAGAGTGAGCTGATTGAGATGTACAGTCAGAGGAAGAGCTCAGTCTATGGCACTTCTAGAGTGACCGGAGGCTGCTGTTCAAACGTCGCCGCGTATATTGAAGACGTTGTCAGACGCCGAAGAATCATGCTACCTTTATCCTATAAAATTCGCATGAGATCGTGCATTATCTTCACCTCGAACTGCACGAAAGTATCGTCGCATTTCCACATCCGATCAGCAACAACATGGTTAGACCAAAGGTTAGCCACAATGATGCGGTGGGATAATATGGCTCACTGAGAAGTGGTGCGAACATCTTCGCTGAATTATGTTGGCATTAAAGCGACCTAAGTGCTGTCGCAATGTACAAGTCGTCTCATCAGGGTAGATGATAATTCTCAATCTTTGGTGTTGACTAGGATACCCAGGATCGCTGATGAACGCGTGGAGACCTGCTAGGCTGGGATCATGCGGAGCAGGCTCTGAAGGTATTAGAATTGCGTATGTAGCCGTGTAAGAAGGGATGTATACGGAAGAAATAGCGACCGGTACATAAATTGCAGATGTAAAGGTCGTATTCATTCGTCACTGGTCTAAAGTGTCAGCACGAATGGACACGATACCGCAGTGATCTTTGCATGACTTGTTCAATTTCATATACCACGACAATACACGCGTCGGTTGTCGTGAAACATGATAATGTGGAGTTTTGATCGCATTGACTGACACACGTTGTGACGATCATCTTGATTCTGGCACCGCTTCCAATGATGACAATTGAACGGACTTGAATTGTTCGCGGTCTTTGAAGATGGACAACTCCGCCTGCAATATGTTGACGCATAATACACTGTCTTCGTATTCAAAGCATGATAGCATAAACCACGAGAAGTATCCACTTTACTTGTGACATAGTGTGTGATATTATGCTGAGAAGATGATAGAGCCAAAGTGAAGCTTGTACGTACACAACTCAATTATGTAGCTTAGCCACGTCTCAGCCTCTTGCTTCACAGAGCATTGATGGCCGCCTCGCAGACTTCACAGCGTGCGAAATATTGATCGTTATGCGTTGTTTGAAATCTAACGACACTGCTAAGAACAATTTCCCAGCCGCTGCCTCTAACCCACGATGCATTGCAACGCATCGGTAGCAATAATGCAGGGTCTGTGTCGCAAAACTACAAGCACAAGATCCAGTCCGACTCGCAGCACCGAACTCGTTTGTCAAAACATGCGCCAAACGGACCAATGTATGCCTGCAGATGATGACGAGGGGCCTGACACGTCAATCGCAGAGCCTGATGATGACGAATTGAGCGACTGGGACAGCCTCGAAGTCGACGATGTCGAATACACAGATGAGGATCTAAAAGACTTTGGACGACCGGGACGACGGCGCCATGCCGGAGATCATGATTCGACGCTCTTCGGCAACATGCAGGAGGTGAGGCATACATGCAGCCAGAGGCGGAGATGCGTTGATGAAGATGGTCGGAGTGCAGGTGGCCGAGACAAAGTTAGTGAAGAAGATCGCCAACAACCAGGACATGCTGTGAAAGCGATGACAAACCGGCTACAACGAGCAGGGGATGTGGTAATGCCTCGCACAAGATCGCGAAGCACGTGTAGCACGTGTGGGCGTAGACGACTCTGAATAAGGAGACCTGGAGAAGTTGACCCTGAATTTGGTACCTAGGTAGTGAGGAGAAACTCTCGACGAAGCCGTGGAAGACCACTTCCGGTCGAGGACCAAGTACCAACCTTGAAATAGCTGTAAAGTTAGCCGCCGCAAACTGATCGCACAATCCATCCCCAATGATAAACTCAGAACACATCAATACATTACGATCAATGCATCCCTTTCCAGTGTGCCAACAAACCCCAAACCTTGAATACCCATCCCAACCTCGGAAGGTTCACCTGCAACCCTCCATCACATCTCCGCCTTGCCATCCCCTCGATCGACGTTGGCCACCCCCCATTCCTTGCAGATCCTTCCCTCGTCATCGCGCGCTGGTGCACCAGAATCGTTCCTCGTCAACAAGTTCGCAGGGACGGAGCTAATCCGTTTCCGTGTCTCATCGACCCGTTTACAGTTAGTGGAGACCGCTCCGCGCCGGGGGATATTTTGGAAATCAGCCACTGGACTGGGAAAATCTGCGCACGGTGCGAAGCGATCATGATGGAAGACGTTTCCGTTTGTGGGTTCATCGGATTGGCGAGGTCGTTGTTACCCGCATTGCGATCGTGGGCACGGGGTAGCAATCAGAAAGCTGGGCCGCAAGGCGAACAACACTCTCCTCGATACTCGTAGATCCTCTGCATGTTGAGATGAAATTGTGATGAACGCGCATGGCGGCCTCAGCCCCCCATAACCCACAGACTGCCAAAGGGATGAAGATCTGGAGAATTAACGTTTCCCATGACATCATGCCTGCTAGCTCAAGTCCCTTGCGCCCGCATCCAGTCTAGTCTCGCTTCTAGCCGACGATCTGAACTCCCCCTCCCCGACGCCAGATCTTCAGCATCACGAACACCCAGCCATTCACACTGCAGGGGCCGCTGCGTCCTGCACCGACACCCCCTCCGCGGGCTCTCCAGGGCTGCCCCCAAGATCGGGGATAAGGGTTTCACGCAGGGATAGCGACCTGCGTGGCTGAACGTGCTGAACACCGTGATCGTGGCCCTCGCGCAGTATCGCAAAGATGTGAGACGTGCATGCTGCGTTATTGGAACGCCGTAACGCCATCAACGCCATCACGGGTGAACCGTCAGTCTCACTTGTTAACCCAAGTACGGCCCCCAGGCTACGTCAGTACCCCCGCCCGAGCGCCGCACGACTATTATGGCGTGAAGGCTTGCAGAAGACGTCAGGTCTGTTAGGAAAGGCTGGGTGGTTCTTAGTGAGTTTTCGATTTAACTCTCAGCCCGGGGGCTACACAACCTTGGAAATCCTCTTTTGCATCCAGTTCTCGTCTTCTCTGTCTGTCAGCCTTTTGGGCATCTTTTTTTGTCTTTGCATAGCGTATAGCTCGCTGTTTTGGTATACCAGTACTACTTACTTACTATCTGAGTCTGTCACCTTGTTCAACAGTATAGGCTGTCGAGATGGCACTCAAGAATATATTACCGTTACACAAGAAGGAGTCGGTATCGCGGCTTCAGGGCACTCCTCACAGCCATGCCCATCATATCCACCGCCCTCAGAAGGCAAAGAGCTTTATGCCTAACAAATGGCGCAATGAGCTCGTTGCCGCTGCAGCAGAGTTTGCCGGCACGTTCATGTTTCTGTTCTTTGCGTTTGGAGGAACGAGTGTAGCCAACACTGCGGCGACATACAGTAACCGGGTTACCTCTGGACAGGACAACAACAGTATCACACAGGCGCCAGATACGAGTGTGCTGCTGTACATCAGTCTGATCTTCGGCTTCAGTTTGATGGTAAATGTCTGGGTATTCTTCAGAGTGAGCGGAGGACTCTTCAACCCTGCCGTAAGCCAGCCTTCCCAAAGGAACGCATGCAAACAATAACTAACAACACCCACAGGTAACACTCGGCCTCTGGCTCATCGGCGCCGTCCCAACCATCCGAGCATGCCTCTGCTTCGTCTCCCAGATGCTCGCGGGCATGGCCGCCGCAGGCGTAATCCAAGCCATCATCCCCGGCCCCCTCAACGTCTCCACCACCCTCGGCGCAGGCGTCTCCGCCGCCCGCGGCGTCTTCCTCGAAATGTTCCTCACCTCCCTCCTCGTCTTCACCATCTTCATGCTCGCAGCCGAAAAGCACAAGGCCACCTTCCTCGCCCCGATCGGCATCGGCCTAGCCCTTTTCGTCGCAGAAATGGTCGGCGTGTTCTTCACCGGCGGCAGCCTGAACCCTGCGAGGAGCTTCGGGCCCTGTGTTGCTACGCACAATTTCCCGGGGTACCACTACATTTACTGGTTTGGGCCGCTGATGGGTACGCTGCTGGCGTTTGGCATGTATCGTATTGTTAAGTTGGTGGAGTATGAGACTGTCAACCCTGGTCAGGACTTTGACGATCATGAGGCTGCGTTGTTTAATCCCCCTGAGGACCCGGAACATGCTGGGCAGGTTGAGCGGCCGAATGTTGCGGCTCATGCTATGGCGGACGCGATTCGCAGGACTAACTCTAACTTTGGGGGCGAAGCCCAGTTTGGCATTGATTCGATGCTGGAGAGCAAGGACGACGAGAAGTCCACACCACCACGGTCGCCACAAAAGGAACAAGAGCTGTTAGAAAGGACCGGTCATGCACCAGCTGCCAACGGCGAACGCCACGAATGCTGTTAGCCCTCGTCTCTTACACAACAGGCATCCTGTGCGTCTGTGTAGTAACACGTTTCCATTTCCATTCTAGCGTTTACAGCGGGTGCGAGTCCTCATTTACAATTCAATAGCGAATCTCCATTTTTTACACTTATGCTGCGCATAAGCACAACCTCATCTCTCCCCCTTGCATGATGCCGCGCCGTGCTTCTCCTAATCTGGCTTCGGTCTTGTATACGAGGAACCAGGCTAGACAGTGTGCGATTAGAATTGCGAAGAGTAGGATGAAGAGCAGGATGGCTAAGATGGCGACGCATGTCCAGAGGGCGGATATGGCGCTGGGTCTGCGTTTGCTTTTCGACTTTTGTGGTGGGGGGTTTGTGACGGAGTCGTAGGTAGCATCCTGCGGGGCTCGAGAGGAGCTGTGTGTCGGTCGGGCAGTGGTCTCGCGGTTCGGTTCGGGTATCTCGTCGTTTGACGCTTGGTCGTACATGTACCCGCCGTCCCCATCCGGAGGAAACAATCGAATCGCCACACCCTTCGCTTCCATCTCCCTCCCCGTCTTCTTCGGCGGCGTACTCGGCACTTCGAACCCCTCACTCCCCATTCCCAGTCTCATTCCCATCCCGAATCCCCTCCGTCCCATCCCCATCCTGCTCACAGGCGAATCCCAAGGTTTCCTCCCCGTCTCCCTCCCATCCGCCCTCTCCTTCCCCTTCCCTTTCCCTTCTCCCTCCACCTTCAATACCGCCTTCGGCTGTCGATGGATCTCCTCTGACCCCGTTCCCGTTCCCGTCTCCCCTCCCTCGTCCTCCTGTCCCTCCTCTCTGGCTCCACTATCCGCACCGTCCGTCGCTTGCCCTCCCCCTTGTTGTTCTTGACTTCGCGGCGTTGGGGCTGGCCTTCGCGGTCGTAGGCGCCGTCGTAGGGATGGTGGCCGTTGGTGTAGCGGGGATCGGTTTTCTGTGGAGTCTGAGCGGGGGCGTTGGAGTTGGAGGTGGGGGAACAAGCGGGTGGTTTGGAGATGGGGGAATAGGCGGGGGAGTTGTACCGAGAGGATTGGGAGACAGATTGCTAGGAGGCAGGCTAGGAAGAGGATGCTCATTGCTACCAAAACTGGGGGCGGCGCGAGTGGTAGGTGGGTTTGGGTTAGGTGTGGTGTGCGCGCGTGTAGGTGTGTTGTTCGTTGTGTAGGAAGGTATCGTGAGGAGGTGTAGTGTAGATTGTTCAGGTTTTGTTTAGTGATAACTCAGAGGGCGTCGTAGTGTGAGAGCCTTGTCGCTCGATATAGGTTGAGGCGAGGTCAGATAGCCCACACGTGATGTTTGTGCCGTTCTTGCCCTTGAAGACGGAGCCACGTGTTGAGGTGGCTCGCGACTGCCATACTGCAGCCTCCATGCTTCTGGCATTCTTTCCCACAAAGTCGAGCTTCCTTGCGCACCTCTCAGCACTCCAACTCACCCCCAGTCTCTCTCATCTGCTATCTAAAACTCTTGCATACTCGCGTACCTCCTCTTTCTTATCTCTTCGATATTAAATAGGCAGATTTAGTTATTATGTATCTTATGTGTGTTACAGGAGCTGTAAGTAGCTTCTTAATAATAAGTTATTATAGTACTATAAAATAAGATAAGATTAGATTTTAAGATTTTTTTATATATATATAAGTTAAAGGAGAGTATAGAAGCTTTGTTTTTGCAACTCTTCTTCCTCTCTTATACTGCATACTCGCGTAGAACATGATATACGTATATCAGCACGACCTCGGGTCCCAGCGCCTTCCCAGTTCGCATCAGTAGCCTTCCGCGCCATGTCAACATAATCATCGTCTTCGTGCTTAGCTGCTTGGCTATCGCTTCACGCGCGTGTTCATGATCAAGTGTCTCGTTTCCGCCCTGTGAACCACGTTAGACAACCACTGGCAGTGACCCCTTCTCGTCTTCCACGTGGCACACACTACATTCTCCCTAGGTCGGGATGAGCATGACTCAGCATATTGAGGATCAGTGGCGTCTGGTATGCGAATGTGTAGGTGTCGCGGTTTGTGTCTGCGCACGCGGCCGGGTAAATGCTATGGATAGTCGGAAGTGTTTCATGTGCGTTGCGATGGGTAGGTGGGAGCGCTGAGAGAATGTCATTGTGCTGGTTGTGCCGGCCGTGCGAGGGACGTATTTGGTTAAGCCGAGTTAGAGTGTAGGGTACAGTATTTTAGCTAGAGTGCATTGGGTGCGATGAGAAGTCGTTGTATTGTTCTTGGCGGAGTGCAGCATCTCGATCACGCGACTGTGGAAGGAATGTAATACTGGCAAGGGTATACGAAGTAGTACAATGTTAGTCTACCACAACGACTTCCATAACTCTGAATACGGCGCTCTTGAAGGATGAGTCCTAGTCTTCCATCTTGTCATCGTCCGCTTCATCGTATTCGACCTCCGCTGTATCACCCTCTTCATACCCACCACCTTCACCGTCTTCGTCTTCACTGTCCGATCCTGAGCCTTCGCTCTCGCCCTCACTCCCAGGGTCAAAGTCATCATCCTCTTCCTCGTCATCCTCCTGATCCTGCAACTCCCTCTCTGCCTTCTGCAGTTCGCTCTCTTCTTCCTCAGCACCAGCTTCTTCTACCGCAGCACCATTCTCCTTCTTGCCGCCCACCTTGTTCACATTAAGCTTCTTTGCGCGTCGGTCTGCGGCCAGACTGGCATCCTGCAAACCGTGTTTCTGGACGTATTCGTTTATGCCGGCGAAGTCTGCTTGATCGAGCATGCTGAATTCGATGTCGCCCGAATTGGGTGTGGTGAAGACGACGTTGAAGGTGTTGCGCAACACATTGGTGTAGGATATGCTTTCTATAGAGGCGAAGTCGAAGAAGGCGAGGGGCTTCTTGAAGCCGTAGAGGATGCCTACGGAGGTAAAGAATAGGTAGCCTAGACTGTGTTAGCAGGAGCTTTGTGCTGTGAAGTTCGAGTATAGCGTACCCTCTTTGCTTCCCCTGTGCGCCTTGACGTGATATGCCTTCTCGCCCTTCCTGTGGCTTTCTGGCACTGCGCTCGCGAACTCCTCGGCGTCGGGGAAGATGACCTCCTTTCCGGTGCCGGCTTGTATTAAGCAGTGGTGTATCGCCTCAGCCATGGGTGCTGGCCCTGGGTCTTCGCCTTCAACGATGTTCTTCCCTGTCGCCTCCTCGAAGGTCCATACGATTGGCTCTGGCGGTGAGCCCTTCAATTCTTCTGGCACGGGCGCCACTCCATCGCCGTGTACCGGTATAATGACAAAATGATGCTGTTTCTTCGCCTTCTCGGGTATAGGCAGGCAGAAGACCTGGTCGACGTCCTTCCACGCGATAACGAATTCTACATTGCCGTTTGCGCCAATGGCTCTTATGCCGCCATCCTTCTTGTCGAGTAGCTCGAGGGTGAACTTCTTCCGCTGTGGTATCGCGACGCTGACGGCTGGGTAGGTCTTGAAACCTTTCGTTGAAGTGCTCGTAAGACTGCCTCCTGCGTTTGATGCGCCGTTCTGTGGGGCAACACTCTCTTCGATCTTGCGCTTCTTAGTCGCTGGCTCAGCGGCGGGCTGCGAGGTTTGATTGAGGATGTATGTCGAAATGTCGCGAAAAAGAGTACTTTGGGTAGGGTTTTGGTCTTGGGCATATTAGCATAAGTCAACTTTGAGATTGGCGTCGCATACCTATCGCTGCGTGTACGCGCTTTCGCAGCTCATGATTGCTAGCAAAAGCGACATCAATTTCCTGTGGATGGGGTACGGGCGTCGGTGCTGCTGCCGGCGCAGGGGCAGGCGCAGATGGTGCGGGTGCTGCAGGTGCTTGCACGGGTACAATGGGTGCCGATGGCTTGTTGTTGAGCGCTGTGAAGGCCATGGTGGGTTGTAATTGGTGTTGTTGGTTGAAATGTCTCGTGGACGCGTCGACGGCTGATCGCGACTCCTCGACATTTAGCGCCCGGGTCTGACATCACCGCCGCTCGCCATCCTTCACCACTGCCACCTCACTCTCCTCTTCACCTCCCACATTTACGGCTGACTAACTACTCTACTTTCACAACCTATATGCACAATGCACAACGTACCGATGTCTAGCAACATCACGAGTCTGCTCGCCAGAGTATCGCCCTCGACGGAAACCCTCCATGGGCCGTTCCGCTATAGCCTACAGTTTCTACTGTCTCATCTGCCCGAGGATTACTGAACTCGTGGACAATAATAGATACAGGACGCGTCTTCTCGATGCAAATCGTTATGCGGAGGATCGACACAGCGTGCTGGGTATTCCATGCGCGTTCCATGCGACCCATGGACAGATCAATCACTATCGACTTTGATATATTATCAACACCCGCTTCAATCGCCATGAAAACTACGCGAATACCCAAGCGATATCTCTAACACATAATAGCCGGTATTATTGCGACGTGCGAGAACCATCATCGGTGCAGTAGGTGGAGCGTGCGCGTTGCGCATCTCACACACTTCCCGTCGCGACACATCATGACGACCAATACACGATGAACCGACCGTTTGACACCTGTCAGTTGCATTACGATTCATCTACAACAGGCCGGAAATGTACTGGACCGTTCAAGCGAATCCTTGACAGCTGCCACGAAGCAGCCCTATGCCGGTAGGATAGCATTGACAGGCCGATATTCTCTCAGCCGACATCATAATCATAGGTAAGAGTCGATGCGGTACGGGCGACTATCCAAGCATGCATCTCTTGGGACGATGTCTCGGCGGTGACCAGATGTTATGTTAATCTTCTGTCTCCTTGACGGCATTTACTCAACGCCTAATAATCCCGCCCGTAGCCTTCTTGCCTCTCTCCAGTTCGTCCTTCCGTGAAGGGTCGAAACAGGATTACCGCCAACATGACGAAAGTCAAATTTTCCCTCCCACCGGCAGCCGACAAGGTCACAGCGCTCTTCCACACCAAGCAAATCAAGGATGATGATCCACCAGTCTTCAATCAGCCACTCAACACCAGCTCATGTCCGCATCACCGTATCGCGAGGCTGCTGTACAGCGTTTCCCTCGCACTGTTACTTCTCATCGCAGTACCGGTCATCGCTCTCAAGGCATTAACCTATAGCTTCATCGAGGACAATCGTGTGACGGGATTTGAATACCAAACGACCAGAAGGAATGGCGACCCTGGCGAATCCATCATCATGGCCGCTCTACCTCGGATGCTATACGCAGTACCAGCAAAACTAGCCATTATCGCCGGTACAGTCAGCATATGTCTAGCCACCGCACACCTAGGATTCGTCGCAACAGATTGGAAAAAGGGCAACAGGGTACGTCAAATCCCACACAAGACGATAGATCACATCCAACTAATGCCTTTCCAGACGCAATCATACGCCTTCCGTCGCAACATAATGTTCCTCCACATCACCAACGCCATTCTCGTCCTCTTCGCCCTCGTCTCCATCTACGTAACCCACAAAAACACCTCCCACTTCCGCGAAGGTTTCGTCAACTTCCGCGCCTCACGCATGAACGACACTGCCTCCACCTCTACCCCCACCCAACCATCTTTCTTCCGCTACAACTTCGGTACCTTTGATCTCGAAACCTGGGCTTGTGAGCTCGCGGGTGTTGAAGGTGCTGGTATGGTACGGGAAGATTATGGCATGCAATGTGGTATTGAGGTCGCTGGAAGGGCGGTTATGATTCCTTTTGTGGTTGTTGCTTGGGGGGTTGCGGCGATTGGGCTTTGGGGGTTTGTGGGGGGTGGACGGAGGGGGCCCGATGGGGAGAGGATGAAGACTGATGAGGTGGGGTTGGAGATGGGGAAGATGAATGCTACGGATGACTGATCGTGATACTATTCCTTTTTACCAGCTCGGACGGCAAGGCGTTGATTCGTCACTTTCGGCGTTTTTTTTGGCGTTCTAGTGTGTTCGCATCTATCTCGGTAATGTCTTTCCTCATCTCCTTACTCCGCGCATACACGACAGCGATGATACCCTCTATTCACGTCTCATCTCCTATCGTTTTCTCGCATTCAGCCCTTTTGCTGGTCAAAGGTCTCATCTCTTCTTCTTCTTCCGGTTGTTTGGATCAAACGTCGCCAAGTGCTGGGGCGTTTCATATTTTATTTTATTGCACGGCATGGCATGGCATGGCATAATGATTATTTTGATATACACTACCGCGTTCTCCTCTTACCTTATTGCATCACATCAGCATGTCATCGACCGGAATAAAAGACGAACTCGATTGATTATGGGTATCAAGAATAAGTCGATAAAGAAACACCGTGGTCCTTGACTCTATTCCATCCCCAGACTCCTACCCACGCGAAAAGCAGTGTACCCAAGCTCTCCCCATTAACAGAGAGCAATAGAGTACCGATGAAACAAGAACGCCGTAATCAAAACCTTTCCCCGACCGGTAACCCCGAACTCCATCATCGCCGCACCCTCAAAACCTCAGTTCATGCCCGCCGCTGCATACGTAGCGATCGAAGCGTAGCTACCAGTCAGAAACACCGCCGTCTCCGTAGGCGTACCTAGACTCGGCATCTCAACAGTTACCTCCCGCGCGTCAACCCATACATCACTCGTGGCGACGATGTTGGTCACCACATCACCAGTCCCACTTGCAGCCGCACCTCCACCTCCGCCTCCGGTGGGCGTAGCAGCTAAAGGACTCAACGGGTTAGCTGTCTGGCTCATGCGGCCCTTGATCGTGGTCGTTCTCGTGGCGACTGGTCCCGGGAAACAATGGATGCCGTGTTGCCCGTTCTTGCCGTTTCCGCCGCACACACATGATTGTCGTTTGTCGTGCATCTTGAGCCATGCTTTGAATGCTTTCATGGCTTCGTTGTCGGGTTTCTTCTTGTCTTGGCTGTCGGGGGAGGTGCCGTTGCCTGGAGCGTTGCTACCGTCAGGGGTCTTGTCGTTGCCTGGATTCGTGCCGTCGGTCGAGGTCTTGTCGTTACCTGGAGTTGTGCCGTTGCCTTTGGGGTTCTCCTGGATGAAGTCCTCGTACTCGTCGTCGTCTGGACCGACTTCTTCTCGGTCCCATTCCGCGTCCTCCTTGGCCTTAGCTTCTTCACTGTCGTCATCGTCATCGCGGAAGTCGCAAAGATCGTGCGCGGATTGTTCAATGCACTTGTCGTTGCCAGGATAGCAACCGTATTCGCCGTTTTGGACCGAGGAGTCGACGGTGTAGTTGAAGTGCGATTCACGGATTTCGTAAACGACGTCTACGATGCAGTACGGCCCGTTGCATGCGCCCTGCGACGTTATGTTCTTGGGCGTGTTCTTCGGGTACCGCGTCTCCTCGTGGAGGAGCTGGGTGGTAACTTGCATGATGGGCTCTCGAGTTGGTGTTGGCGCCTGCGTTGGGTCGCAACCTGGTGGTACGGATGACGAGCTTGTCGAGTTGGGATTGGTAAGCTGTGGTGGTCCCAAGTCGTGTTCTTTGTGATGATTCGGGTCGCAGTCGTGAAGCCAAGCCTTCTTCATATGCTTCGCTGGCTCTTCCTCGTCGTCAAGTTGTAACAATGCCTTCCAACTTACATCCATCCTGTCACAGTCGTGGCACTTCTTTCCGAAGCTGTCGAAGTTGTACAAGCCGCTGTCTTTGATGAACTTCTTGGTTGCTGCCATGGTCCAGTTCGTGGGCGCTTCCCACGAGGCTGCGTAGATGGGATTGATGGGATCGCAGAGGCAAGGCGCATTGTTGTGGTCCGTGCTCTTCGTGCTGGAGATAGCTTCACCCATCCAGCTGCGACATACCGCGATGTCGAACGCGTTGGGGGCGTTGCCATAGTCGTCCAGACGCTTTCTAGCGCCCGGGGGTAAAGTGGAGTTCGAGCCCGACGAGTGCGTGACGTTGGTGTCCGGACGTCCCTTGCCGTCCAGATTCACCGGCTCCAGGGCCGGCGTATCCTGCAGCCGATCGTTGTTGTTTGATGGGCAGGTGCCTGAAGCTGTGGAATTCCGTTCACGTTCCTCCTTCTCGCGTTCAGGCCAATAGACCTCTTCTCGCCAAAGAGCAGCTCGGACCACGTCACTAGCGAAGAGGCCGTGGAAACCCTCTTCACTAGTGAGGTACTCCCATCCGGGTGGACTACGATTCTTTTTGTCCTTGTAATTTGTCATTGCGTACACCCAGTACGATATATCTGGACGTTCCGGAAGACAGATCTTGTTCTCGGCTGGTCCACGATTGTCTTGGTCGCAGTCGCCGCCTTTTTTAGTCCAGGTCTCGACGATGTAGACGCCTTCCGTTTTCCACAGGGCGCTCATGATAGTCGCATACGTCCTCATGCCGACCACGAAGTCGACATAGGCTCGAAAGTCGACATTGGCGCCGTAAAAAAAGTCCTTGTCATAGAGGTCGACAATGTTGTGGCCATCGCGACTTCTGCCGCCCAACGCAAGGATTGGCATTCCGGCTCTGGCTTCGTCGATATCATTGGTATCGAGTTCGACTAGCTCTGCACGCACCGCTTCCAGAGTCTTGTCAAATCCTTTCCTGCTTTCTGTTAGGACCTCTGCTGTCGAATGTACAGTACGCGCAACTTACAAATCCTTCTTGTGGTCAATCTTCTTGACTACCTCTTTGGTCAACCCTTGCACCCCGAGGTAACCTCCGCTAGTGATGGTCCACAGCTCTACTTGATATTAGATCACTCTTTCATGTCGAAGGCCAGAACTTACTCTGCATGTTCTCGATCGTCTTATCCCTGAGGAAACCTGACGGATCGGGGGGTGGACCGCCGTTCTCCCCCTCCGGAACTCTCCTGGAATGCAGCTTCTTGGCTATTGAGCTACCTGGAATCTTGCTTTTGCTCGCCCATGACAGAGTTCGCTGCCACTTTGTACCCAACTTCTTGAACACAGC